ACCAGCCAAAACACCCTTTTATCTTCAGTGAGGTAGATATCTTCACAGCAAATTAAAGGGGCAATGAATGAAAATGTGAAAGTCAGGGGAAATATTTTAGGATGCCTTGGGCTGGTGAGCTACGTGCTGATGCTCTCCACGCAGACGGGGCCACTCTGCAGCAGCTGCCAGAGAAACGCTGGCTCTTATGTCTAAGAGTAAAACCTCCGTGACGACGACCGCTGCTGCACACACCATCTCCCCCAAAGCAAAGCGCTGCTCCGCCAGCTGTTACAGGCGCACGGGCGGCAGCAGCAGTGACTGCAGATCTTGGAATCCTAAAGACAATGACATCCACTCGCTAGCAAGTAACTCTCAGTCTTGTCTCTGGAAGCCAAAGACAACAGCAGAATTAAGGAGTGTTTCAAAACCATGGCTTACATTTTGGTTTTCAAAAATGTGTCTAAAACAAAAATATGTGTAGCCACATCTCTCAAGTGACACAAGAAACATTCTGTGCTCCTGATAAATTTCAACACCACAGAGAATGTTAAGGGAAAGTCTCAAAACAAACAGAGCCATCCGCAGCCGTGCAAGGTGGCAAACACCATATGAGCCCACTCATTCACGGACAGCAAGTGAATTAGGGTGGTTACAAAGAACACACTTTCCTATCTACACCAGGGTCTTGCAATCTAATGAAAAACTACGCATGTAAGTAATGAATAATGACCAATCTGTCTGCTGCAGCCCTCACAAGGCCTGCGGTGGGAACACAGGCCAAGCGCCCTAAGAACACCAGGTGGCAGGAGCTCTCCCTCGGCCACCAAAGCCCCTAAGTTATCTTTGGGGACAGTTAAGGGAAGGAGACCTGCAAGTGTGTCACTGGTTCTGAGGACATTCCTTGAGCACAGAGGAGAGACAGAAGGAGACAGAAAGACAGAGAGGGTGGAGGGGGAGGGAGTGGGAAGGCAGGGAGGTGAGAGGTGGTGTGAGCAGAGGGGCGGGTCCCAGGGAGTGAGCAAGGCGAGGGGACCACAGAGGACCCTCCCAGGAGCTCCTGAGGGCTCTGCCTCCTCGTGAGCCGCCCCCTTCCCGCTGGACGGACCGAGCCGGTGCCTGTGCTTCCGGAATGTCATGTAGAGTCAGAGGCTTGGTGGGTTTTTCAGGATCTGATTAGCTTTTTTAAGAAGAAAATTCTGGTAGCAACTTGAAGGGCGAATGGGAGAGCCTGGAGCAAAGGTGGCCTCTGCAGACTCGGCATCCCCAGGCGCGGGAGCACAGCGGCAGGAGCGGGAAGGCAGGGGCCACGGTGCCAGGCCCTGCCCCAGCAGCTGGGGAGGGATTCGCTCTGAGCAGGGGCCTGAGGAACGCGGCTTTGGGTCGCGTGCTGGTCGCATGCTGCCCTCAGGCCAGGGCAGCCTAGCGACTTGGGGTCTTGTGAAGTCTGTGTAGAGGGCAGGCAGGGGAGAAGCTGAGGAAGTGGGGCCGTGACCGGATGGCATGGCCCTGTCCTGTAATGGGGAGGCACTGAGCTCATCGGGTTAGAGTCACCATGGAACCAAGAGGACCCAGGAACCAACCAGAGGGGTGCCCCAGGAGCGGAGGGTTCCAGCTTGGAAGATGGAGAGGTCACTGACCCCATTAAGGGCCATGAACAAAGAAATTCGACATTGCATTTATTGCACAGCTAATGAGCCTGCTATGGTTCTAGGAAAATTACACCTACTTTTACCCTTATGACAACCCAGCAATGCTCAAGGATTTGAAAGGTAAGATGTAGCCTGGAATATGAAGAGAATGGGCTAAGATAGCTTGGAATAAAGAGGATTAGAAACAGCAGGATGATAATAAAATCAACTGTTGATATACACAAATTCACACATTTGGAAACAAAAGCAATAGCTAACTTTTTTTCATGTGCCAGACACCATGCTAAGCCCTCTACATATATTCTCTTATTTAATCCTCACAATGAGGTAAATACTTTTGTTAACCACCCCCCTTTCTTCCACACTGGAGGTCAGGGCTGGTAAGGCAGGGCGCCAGGGTTCCGGCCTCGCCTGTGGCTCTAGAGCCTGTGGTGCAGGCAGCGCAGCGCCCCACGCTGCACTCGGCCACCGGGCGCGGTCGGCGCGGCAGCGCAGGGCCTGGGAGAAGAAGGCCCTGCGCGGAGAAGGGCCTGGGAGAAGAAGGGCCTGGGAGAAGAAGGGCCTGCGCGGAGAAGGGCCTGGGAGAAGAAGGGCCTGCGCGGAGAAGGGCCTGCGCAACAGCTGTGCTGGCGGCGCCGCCGGCTCGCGGGGAGGGCACCACGGAGCAGTGCAGAGAAGCTGGCACCAAGGGCAGCCCAGGACCCCGCCCTCCTGCTGGCGCCTTCCAGAGGTTTCACGAGTTTCCATCCCAGGAAACAAGAAGTGTCTGTGTGGAGACTCTTCTGAGTGGTCAGAGGTAGCCAGATTACTTTGCTGTGGTTTTACAAGCTATTTACTATTTATTAAGTTACTATTTATTAAGTTACTATTAACTTATTTATTAAGTTAAGTTACTATTTATTAAGTTAAGTTATTATGATATTGGCAGAAATAAAGGAAAATAATTATTTATTTACACAGCTTTCCTATTCATTAGTATCTATCCGTCCACAAAAACCATTAGTGCAAACTTACCGATTACTAAATAAGATCCGATTACTCAACCAAGAAGACTAAGCAGTTTAAGAGTGAAAACAAAGCTCATGAAATTGTGTACTGTGTATCCTCAGTAAAGAAGCAGCAATGTGGAGAGTGGGTAGAAAATCAGTTATTTTAATATTTACTAACTTTATCATGAAATTAATCAACCAAAAAAAAAAATACTAAAACAAACTTGGACTGCTCCATTCATTGCCATCCAAATGGGCACTGTTCTCGAGTTCCTGTGCAGCACATTGCTCTGTTCTTCACAGGGTTCATCAGTGTCACCTGACAGAGACTCTCTCCTTGGTCATACCTGAGATGACTCTCCTGAGTCCTCTTCTGAAGGAAGCTTCATCCTTGGGCCTTTTCGAGAAGAGCATTGCCTGGTCCCACTGTAGCGAGAATGCCCACCAGGATGTCCCCCCTATGGACCGCCCAGGCTGTCCACCGGGCTGCTGCATGCAGCGTCCAGTGCCTCTCCCTCCTCTGCTGCCACAGTCTTGACACCTGCCACAGTGGTCCTGAACGAAGCCTTCGGTATGATTTTAACATGTGTCAAGATACTTTTTTCTTTAACTCTCCCCCTTCTCTTTTGTTCTGGTTCTAAACTGTTTGTTAGCCCAGGAACACATGTGGGCATAGACACTCCAGAATATATGCTGCTTTCCCCCTTACAGCTTGCAACTTAAGATATGTCACTGCAGGTTACACAGATCCCAATTCATACTTTTAATAGTTTTACATTAAAGTAAAAGTGAAGCAAATATATGAAGTGAACTACATTAATAACTCATTTCCTATATGATGTCTTATAGCTACATTCCCACTTTATACATGTGAAATGGATAATAGTCTCTAAAATTTGTTACATATCACTGTTTTCTACCAAGATGGGAAAAACTTCTGATTTTCCAGCATTGACCTAGTAGTATGAACGTAAGCAAATTCTCTCAGCCTGTTTCCACATTCCTAAGGCAGGAATAACATTATTATATACCTTATAAGATTGTTGTGAAAATTAAAAGTGTCAATATATGTCAAGTGCTTGGGGTGACACTGGAATGCAGTAATTCTCAGTAAATATGAGCGGCACAAACATGATCCAAAGGAAGAATCAAACTCATGGCTGCCATGCACTGCCACGTGCTGGGTTAAATACCATCGTCCATTAACAGAAGGAAGGGGCCAAATTTATTTTTCAACCTTACATTCTTCTCAAGTATCAGTTGTTGACTTTTTTTTTTTTTTTTTTGCTGCAGATTTAGTCAGAACCAAGCACACAGGCTTCATAAAGTCAGCCCAGATGTCTTGAGATTATTCTTTGGTGTGTATTGGGAACAGAAATCTAGAGGCAGGGATGAGAGCCATAGATATTAACGATATTCACAAGCTTTCAGTAAATTAACAAAGAAATGAAGCCAGTCTCACCTTGTCTTCCTGCACAAGAATTTTTCACTGCCGAGAATCTCACGATGTGTGTTTTTGGAGGCGGCTACCAGGCTGCTCTTGTGTCTGCTGCAGTGGCGGCTGCAGCTCCTCACTCGAATTCTCTGCTGTCACGGAATAATCCATCTTTGCTCTCACGGAATAATCCATCACATTGTCAATCTACTTAATATCCTGATTCTCCTCATCACTCTCTACACACATTTTTACAAAGTCACAATTTACTAGTTGAGTGGTTACTATGGATCAGATGCTCTCTAGGGATTTCATGTTCATTATTTCATACTCCCAACTTTTCCAGTTATTGATAGATATTATTGTTATTGTTATAGAGAAAGAAACAGGCTCCAAGTGGCTGAGCATCATGTCCTTAGTGATGGCTGGGAAGAGGCAGAGCCGAGATCCAAGCTCAAGCTGGCTACATGTCAAAACCCAGTGCGCTCTCTGCTTTGCAGCCTCCCATATTTTCACTCTTAAATGCAAGATAATGATACTTCCTAAAATACCTCTTAGGTCTTCTTCCTGGCATTCCAATCGCTGCCAGAAGCTATATTTATTTCTGATTCAGTTCTTGCAAGTATTCTTCTTTTCCAATATTATGCTCTTTTACTTTCTAAAGAACATACTGAATTTGCTATTTACAAATCTGAGATTTTAAAACTGACAATCTAGGAAGAGGCTTCACGTTACTGATTAGTTTTCACTGGCTCTTGAGTTTATTAGCTTTTAGGAGGCATCACCCAGATATGGCTCAGATATGATTCTAAAACACTATATATCCACTTGTAATGAAAACAAAGAAAAATTTTAAAATAAATAACCACTAATAAAAAATGGGGGGTAGAGTAAAAAGATAATACTATAGTGAGGACATTTGGCTGGTGCACCACCGGAAGTGGAGTGTGGCTGCCAGAGGAGGCGCGTTGAGGGGTAAAATGTAAAGCACCTTTTTTTAATATGTAGACTCGAGGACGTTTTCCGAGGCAGTGCGTCGACACGTAAGGCTGTTGCAGATTTGGCGCAACACGCGCCTCTTGCTCTCACAGCCCAGTGCTGAAAAGCTAATCTCCCGCACACGACTCTCCCTAATGCCGGAGAATACCAGTTTAGAGGATCAAGATGTTGACCAACTTGAGGATATTTATATTGAATCATCAGAAAATATCCAGTTTGCACATTAATAATATGTGCTTCTGTAAAATAAGAACAAGTTTAAAAAGATTAAAGCTGCATATACCTCTTGGAAGAAATTACAGTTCCCTACCAGGCTTAATAGGAAATGATATCAAGTCCCTTCATTCCATCATCAATCCTCCCATAGCTAAAATCCGTAATATTGGAATTATGGCTCATATTGATGCAGGCAAAACTACCACCACAGAAAGAATATTGTACTATTCTGGATACACAAGATCACTGGGAGATGTTGATGATGGAGACACAGTGACAGATTTCATGGCTCAAGAGCGAGAAAGAGGCATTACTATTCAATCAGCTGCTGTTACCTTTGATTGGAAGGGGTATAGAATCAATCTAATTGATACACCAGGTCATGTTGACTTCACCTTGGAGGTTGAGCGCTGCTTAAGAGTGTTGGATGGTGCAGTGGCTGTATTTGATGCCTCTGCTGGTGTAGAGGCCCAGACTCTCACAGTATGGAGGCAAGCTGATAAACACAAGATACCCCGAATTTGCTTTTTAAACAAGATGGACAAAACTGGAGCAAGTTTTAACTATGCAGTTGAAAGCATCAGAGAGAAGTTAAAGGCAAAGCCTTTGCTTTTACAGTTACCAATTGGTGAAGCCAAAAATTTCAAAGGCGTGGTGGATATAATAAATAAAGAAAAACTTCTTTGGAGTCCTAATTCAGGTGATGGAAAAGACTTTGAGAGAAAGCCCCTCTTGGAAACGAGTGATCTTGAATTGCTGAAAGAGACAACTGAAGCAAGGAATGCCTTAATTGAACAAGTTGCAGATTTGGATGACGAATTTGCTGACTTGGTTTTAGGAGAATTTAGTGAAAATTTTGATTTGCTACCAGCTGACAAGCTACAGACTGCAATACACAGAGTAACACTGGCTCAGGCAGCAGTGCCTGTGCTATGTGGAAGTGCCCTGAAAAACAAAGGCATACAGCCCTTGTTAGATGCTATTACTATGTACTTACCCTCACCTGAAGAGCGCAACTATGAATTTCTGAAGTGGTATAAGGACGACTTATGTGCACTGGCATTTAAAGTTCTCCATGATAAGCAGCGAGGACCACTGGTTTTTATGCGCATTTACTCAGGCACAATAAAACCCCATTTAGCCATCCATAATATTAATAGAAATTGCACGGAGAGAATAAGTCGTCTGCTTTTGCCATTTGCTGACCAACATATAGAAATCCCTTCACTGACTGCTGGTAACATTGCTTTGACTGTTGGTCTTAAACACACTGCCACTGGAGATACGATTGCCTCATCCAAGTCCAGCATATTAGCTGCAGCTCGTAGAGCCGAAAGGGAAGGAGAAAAGAAGCATAAAC